AGAGCCACCAAGCAAGGAAGCCAAACACATCGAGCGCTCGCAGTTCCATCTATAGAGCCTGGCCGGCCAAAGGAGTGTTGGACCGTGCGGGCACTCAGGCCTCGCAGGCCGAACATTGTCCACTAGGGGTCTCTGGAAGCAGCTAGCACCGACAGTGTGGGTATAAACAATGTTGCAAAAAGGTGAATTTTATGACGGCTAGACATAGGTAGATCTGCAATGAAGGAATCAGCAGCAAGCTCTTGCACGTAGTGCTCCAGTGTTCCAATGTGTCTGAGACGCATCCTCCAGAGCAGTCTAGTCAGGTCAGTACCGTTTCGATACTCATCGATAGCTCCTCCTGCACGGAGGGAACCAGGCGTGAGCCTGCGTCTCAATTCCCAAAAACTCCAGGATACAGTCCCAGCGTCTTCTGAAAGAAGAGGGGGAAATTGGATAAAGAAGCAACTTCCGGTCCAACTTTTTGAACAAAACTTCAAGGAAGCTTACTACCAGTTCGTCTAATATTGAAGCATGTTGTATCCTCGCTCCGCCTCTCCGTCGGCTCTTTGGCTCCCTGATCTTCAAGAACACAGGGGCACTTCCGGTCATGAGCCGATCGGAGGGTAGCGAAAGTTCTGATCGAAAAGCGCGAAGGACCTCCCCCGGTCTTGTAATACCGAAAAAAGAAATTGCTAGACAACCTGCGAAGCGGTTCCAGTTCCAATGTAAGGCTACAACGATCATTGCTCGAAGCACCGCCAATGGAAGTGGCGTTCTGTGAATGACAGGCTCCAACTCTTCCCATTTTGAAAGAACTTCCCAACAAGGAGTCAGGTAGGGTTTGATTCCGAAAACTTGCTTTGAAATCAGAACAACAAGGTGCCGGAGGATGTACAAAGGTTTTCCTTCTTTGAACAGAAAACACCCAAACTCTTTGACCAGGAGGCTAAGAAGCATAGGATTCCTTGTCAAAGAGTCAACGGCTTCCTCGCTCAAGGATTCCTGAGTCCAGTTGATGAACCATCTCCAAATTTTGCCTTGCAGCTCCAAAGTCTTGGTTTCGACTAATTTGATCTCGTCCAGATTCAAGGTCCTGTCACCTCTAGGTCCTGGGTTCTTTGCTTCTCCAATTCTTCTCCAGGCACAAAAGGCGAAGGAACTCGGATCGAAACCGCCTAGTCTTTCAACAAGAAAACCAGTGCTTGTAGCAATGCCTCCTGCGATCGTCTTAGCTACCCCTTTGGGATATGGTTGGGCTACTAAGGTCCAGCTTTTCCTGTGGACTCTCGATCGACCGCGAAGAGGGGTGTGGACATGGTCCCTTGTACAAAAGGTGCAGCAGTTCTGAAGGACAGAGTTCCCAATGATTCTTGTGCGCTTCCGCCACGGGGTTCCGAAGCGGCAATAGTCAAGTCTCCACATTCCCAGCTCTCCGGACTCACCTCCCCACTTTGCGAAGAGGGCCACCCACTCTTTCTGCAGAAAGAAGAAACTTCCATCGGGGTTTTCAATCCAAAAGAAAATATTGAGGAGTAGGCTCAATTCAGCAAGTTGGGAAAGCCACAAGGAACAGGAGTTTCCTTGGTTGATTTTATCTATCATCGAAGGTCTAGCCTCCGGAAGACCTTCAGGCACATCTCTGCTTCGAACAGCCGGGCAAATCGCCCGGGAAAAGGACTTGCAGACCGGGCCACCGCCCCAAGCTCTGAACACACCTAGAGCGATCAATCTGGCCAGGTCGCATCGCAGATCTTCTGCGTCAAGGTCTTGTTCTGGTCCATCTTCGAGCTCGAAGGTAATCACCCAGCTTTGGGTAAATTCTTTCAGCCAAGTAGCGACTCCTTTCACCCCTGAGAAAAGGTCGAGGAACCCTGGCTCAAGAGGGGGCCAAGGATGGCCAGCAGGCCGCAAGACTTGACCAAACTCTTCGGCTCTTTTGAAGAACTCAAAAACAAAAACGGCGTCCTCTCCGTCAATCTCTCCAAAGAGTCCCGCGAAACTAAGTGCGCTGCAGGAACCGTCTTCATTCACTGTTTTACTATCTAAGGCATCCGAAAACGGGCATGTAACTCCTCCATTCTCAGGAGGTAGAAAAGCATCTTGGTCGGTACTTTCACCATCACAAACTTCACTCTCTGCAACCCTGCAAACCTGGTTACCAGTGCTGGGGTACGAAGGGCGGTCGAAGTCAAAATGTTCCTCTGCATCTGAGCTCTGTGCGTGCTCAGAAAGGAGTTCACTGAAAGGAGGAAGGCCGGACAGGGTATGTCCGTCAAGGCCTTCACTGTGCAGCCATGCGTCAAAAGCTTCGAATTTTCTGTCAGCGATTGCTTGCAGCCAGTCAGGCATAGGTAAGTCCGGCTTTCGCAACGGTCTTCCTCGAGTCGGGTCGTCGGCCGGGTTTAGGCTGGTCTCTACATAAAAGGTCTCTGAGAACAACCCGAGCCCTAGCACATTCCCAAGGCTCCTTTCGAGCTCTCTGTTTAGACTGGGGGAGGATGACCGACCTTTGGTCACACAACCTAAAACAACCTGGCTGTCAAGGCCAAAGAGATCTCTCGAATGCGGGTGCTCGAGCCCCAATTGAAGCTCAGCGCGTAAGAAGGCTCGAAGCTCTCCAATATTGATATGGCGAGGTGAGCCGGCGCGATGCTTGAACAAAAGCCGGAACTTGAGGCTTCGAGCCAGAACTTCCCAAAGAGGGTTCATCAAATAGCTCACAGCTCCATCAGGCAATTCAAGTTCAGGGGGCAAAAGTCCATGCGAACGTTCCCAAGCCTTCCCTGGGGGAAGAAGTTTAGTCCAAGTGGACTTTCGCAAACAGTGCCTCAGAAGCTCTGCAGATACTGAGGGGCTGACCGTAGCAAGAGCTCCGGCTTCCCCCCAATTTGAAGCGTCCGTGGTACAGACCCTACCTCTCGGTTCGGCACGGAGGTCGCTGCAGGCAAATGGGATCATGAAAGTAGCAACGATGAGCTCACTTTTCATTGCTCCAGACAGTTTGATTATATCTGACTTTTTTCGCCCCACACAAGATTGGAAGATGAGGTCCAGAACACAGAAAAGTCTCCGTCTGTAAAGGAAAAGTGAAATCAACGAACCAGCGACGACTTGGAGGAGGTCAACACTGCAAACACCCAATCTAATGATTTGCAAACAAATCCCAAACAAAGGAATGGCTCTCTTCAAGGTGCCTCTGAGCAAACCCGTATCCCCGTTCAAGTCGACGCCCCAGAAACTGGAGCGACTCTCATCTGCAAAGCCCTTGTCTGGGTGGCTCACAAGTCCAACTTCATCATACCTCTTTTCGATTTTCTTTGCCAAACGTGCACCCTCAGATTGTCCTTGATAGTGCTTTGAAACCCTGCTCAGAGAAACATAGTCATCAATAACGATGCCAACATAGTTGGGGCCCCGGGGGATAGGCGAACCTAGACTTACCAGATTCTGAGGTTCCGCGGCGCCACATCTCAGGGCCAACGCCAAGTGGCTCGTCTGAGCCAAGGTGACTGCCTGAGTATCCCCCATTGCGAGGGTGTTGAGGCAGCCAAACACGACGGGCTCCGATTCAAGCTCAGGGGAAAAGCAACTCAAGTGTCTGACAGCGCTGCAGGGCACAGCTCCACAGAGCACGTTGCGTCTTGACCTTTCATCATTCACTAAGAAGAGGTGGTAGAAGTCACGAAGGTCGGATCCAGAGGCCACTAACTTTTCGTTCTCAGGAAGGACAATTTTGGTGAGGGCCTCTGCTGAGCCAAGCGATTTGATCCATCCTTGCAAGGGTGTTTCTAGTAGGTTTGCAGGCCTCGAATCTAGAATAAGTCGATCCTGGTCTTGACTCTTGATCACAGAGAACATACCACTAGCAAATTTGGTGTCTACAGCACTCCTAGGGAACAACTTCAGCCTCTTGCAGTGATCTAAAAGCTCAAAAAGTCTAATCTTGGCTTCAAACGAACAATGCATCTTGACTAACGGAACTCTCCCCTCAAAGTCGCCTGCGGGCAGCCGGCACTCCAAGGGGTGCTCGTAGATCTTCGCACCTGCAGGATCCAGGTAAGGCACAGGATTGAAGCTCGGGACTCCAACAAAGCGCAATCGCGTCGGATCCAACTCTTTGAAGGTGCTAAAAGAACTTGCAGTAGCTTCTCCAATGACTTCTCCTACATCTCGGCTGTAGCCGGGGCGACTGTCAGGAACTCCTCTCCCTCCAAAATAATCATTTTTGAGATCTCCAGCCAAACCACTAACTCTCTCTGAAAGAACTCTCAAAGCATCTTCTATGTTCTCAATCTTGGGGCCTGCACGGCCCATAGACTCCGGACCGACCGCCTCTGCTTGCAGCCAATCCTCCAAGAAGACCTCAAGGCGGCGAACAATCCCCCATTGAGTGGAGCTCAAAGGATTTCCAGGTCTAAGAATTGCAGGACAGGAGGAGGCACGACCGAGCGAAGTGTAGTTCAACACAATCACCGCAGCATTGACAAACTTTTTCCTCGAAACCTCCTTTGCGTCTGCTCTGT